GATACGGTTTATCACCTGTATGTAAACGAAGGTGTGTTTTTAAATTTGATGTTGATGAAAATCTTTTTGGACAATATGGACATGAATATGGTCGTTCACCTATTTTAATATCAAAGATATACAGAAAAAAAAAAGAATATAAAATTTATATTTTTTTTACCTGAATGAACAAGTGTATGTTTTTGAAGATGAGCAAATTGTGTAAATGATTTTGTACATTGTGTACATGCAAATGGTCTTTCATTTGTATGAGTTCTTAAATGTACTTTAAGATTTGATAATTGACTAAATGTTTTATAACATTGTACACATTCATAAATGATTTTTCCATTTTCTTTACGTAATGGATATGGTAAAGATTTATGACCACGACTATGAACAAGAGTTGTTGTTGTTGTTGTTGTGGTTGACGATAAAGATGATACTGATGTTTTTCTAGTCAAAGTATTATCACCCAAAATTCTTTCAATAGAAAAACTCAATGAAGAAGATTTATTTGTATTTGTAGTAATAGGTTGTTTCTGAGAGACTAATAAAAAAAACAAATGAAATTACTAAATGAAAGGAAGAAAACAACTAAAAACAAGTTATACTTAATTGAAAAGGTTTTCTTGAAGTAATTATTGAATTTGATATTGGATAGATTTGTTCTTCAATAGTTTTTAATGATGATGTTGTTTGTGAAGTATATGGTAAAACAAATGGTAACTGCAAGCAAATAAATAAATAAATAAATAATCGACAGTGACAGATTTAGAAAGGGAACTAGAGGGACGATCGTTCTTCCCTTCCGAATTATTTTTCGTAACACAAAACATACATCCACGAGAAATCAAATTTATCCCATTTTACTTTTCTATATTCACACCTCTTGTACAACTTTAACAATAGGTTGTATAAGCCTAACAGGGTATGGAGTGCGAGGTCTGTATTCCACTCATACCCTAAAGGGACTAAATAGTAGAGGGTTGCATTGGAGTTATTTTTAGGCGTGATCGGAGCTCTTTAAAAGTGTCTACCAGTAAATTTGGTTGAACATGTATTTTGAAAGTTCGATTCACGTCGTCTTATGGCTTTATACGGGTGGGTAAAAGTCGAAGTCGAGACTAAATTCAGCTTCTTTTCATGGGTATAGACCTCGTAGAGACACCAATCGAATTACGAAAATATATCATTTTGTACAGTGAATACCAAAGAATAAAACTCACAATTCAAAAAATCTCTTATGTTAAATATGATTTATTAGCGAGATATTTAGTCGACTTCGATACAGGTCTCTACTAAATGGACCTATCCTCTTTCCCAAAATCTTAGATCTACCACTGATAGTCAATCTATTCAACTTACATGAAAACCTTGCTGATGAAATGGCCAACAAGTAGTAGATTGCTGTAAAAGAAAATTTTCAATAGTCTTAATACTTTTATTCATTACTTTTTGCTCATAGATCCATTCTGATATTGATGGTATCATCAATTGATGAATAGATTCATGTAAATGAACAATAGGATTATGCCAATATGTATACTGTTTATTTTGTAACATGATCATACAACACTAGAATTATTTTAACGAAAATATTTTCTAAAACTTTTTTTCTACTTACGCTTTCTTGTATCACTTTTCATCATTGAGTTGTCCAAAAAAAAAAAAAGAAACAAAAAGTCAATTATTTATTTCTCTCTGATATACACATATAGGTTGTGAAAGAGAAAAAGAATTTTTATCCAATCAGTTTTCTCTCTGTCTCTCTCATTTTTCAATAAACCAATGAGAAATTATATATATATA